GGGGGGGGGGGGGGGGGGGGGGGGGCAGCAACTTGACCAAGTTTTGAGAAGTGTTTTTTCAGGGCTATCTGAGGCCATTCTGTCTGTGACTGAGAATCCAGGGTTAATCGCTTTAAAAGCAGTAATTAGGTGTTAAGATGCATGCTTGTCTGTTTAAATTAGCTTCCAAATCAGATTACGCTCTGTGACTTCCGTTCACCTCTCTTATCAGAACTCAGTGCTCCTCAGAAGACCATTTTTATTATTTAAAGGACTCCATTTAAACCGATATCAAAGTGAAATCTTAGTAAACAGATTTTTTTTTAAAATAAAAGATTCCTTAAAATGCTGGATAATGATTTACTGTAAAACAGTAAATTGAACAAAGGCATCCCCCAATAAAACAAATACACATAAAGCTTATCTGTTAAATCTAAAGTTACACACACAAAACAACAATAACTGAGATTTTTACAACCAGATAAAAAAAAAATCAAACCACAATCTATTTGTCAGCAAGATTTTATCAAATCAGGGAAGTTTAGAAAACTGCACACCCATTTAGGTAAAAGGTGTTAATAACAGAACATTTTATCACCATAAGCAGAAACAATAAAAACCACACAGTTAGGACAATAAACTTATGGTTTTGTTGATATTTGTCAATGAGATATTATCTGAAAATATGGCTCTACATCTTTCTATTATCAAGTTACGATAAAATCTAAATTCATATACAAATTTGTTTATTTACACCTAAACATTTATGAGTGTCTCTAAACATCTGGAGCTAAAACAATCAAGCAAAAGAAAAAAATAATAAAACATTGCATGCATTGTTTCAAGTTTCTTGAGGCTAAAAATAGTTTTATCAAAAATGAACACGTCTGAGCGTTGCACATTAGTGACAGTTCTTACATCTTTGGTATTTCGTGTCCCTTTAAGTCTTGCATGAAACCAAAAACAGGTTGTAAACATTCACGTTAGTTAATTTGTTCTTATTCATCTATGATTTTACATGTGCTGCCAGGTTTTATCCATCGACTGAATGTGCTCTTTAGCCTTCATCCTGAGTGCTGCAATGCTGGAACTCCTGTCATCCTCCATGGGATATTTATCACTGAAACTGGGAGGACACTGATAGGGTGGTGGACCCATGGGCTGCATACTTTGGACCATTCCAGGTGCGCTGTTAAGGAAGCTATGGCTTGAATAGGTAGGCTGCAGGGCCTGTGGTGAGCCCATGAAGCCTGGGATGCTGTGCATGGGAGTGGCACTTGAAATGGGCGAGCTCAGCCAAGGATCTAGTGGCATCGGGTTGGCCATCGGCCCAACTTTAGGAGGCATTGGGGGGCGATTGAATGACAGCATGGGGGAGTCATGGAGCTTCATGGTGTTGGTGTCCATCTTTTCTTGACGTCTCCACTTGGCTCTCCGATTCTGGAACCACACCTGGACAGAGCACAAATGGCACAACTGATTAATCACACTTGTTGACTCTTAAAGGTCATAATCATTATCAAGTTATTTATAAAGTATACTAACGTTCTTCCACAATTTCATTACAACAGATAATGCAGCTGAAGGTACATCTATCAGAAAACTTTGTGGCAGGTGGGTATAAACTAAAAAAACAAATGTTTAAGCCAAAAAAAAATACATTTCCAGAGTATACTATAAAGATCAGGTCTAGTTGGACGTTAAATGCAGATATTTGTCCACAGCAACAGATTTGTTAGCAAAAAAACCACAGTCAACTTTCCAGGACAACAATTTCATTCCATCAGTGTGAAAATGGTTAACAACGAAAAAGGTTAAATTGTGTCATCTGGACCAGTTTCTTTAAGTAAAAACGTTTTGTCCCCCCATCCAGAGGACTTGCTCAGTTGACGGCCTGCCAACCAAAGGTAGCACATATTGGGCTTACAACCTGTTGTTTGGAGTTGTTTCACTTCATCAATAACTTGACTGATTGATTCAATCAAAAACTTTTCTGCACCAAATGGTTGATTATATTGTGAGATTAATTGTCTGAAAGTTGATGCTGAATTGGAGGTGGATCTTTAATTTAGTCCTCAAGCACAAAAACAAATCCACCAAATATTAATTTCAATAAACAAAATAAAGCTCAATGGAATAAAAAAAGGGTTAAAAATTATGTGATTTAGAGTGTTTGCTACAGCACACAACTCTGGTTATTATTAAACAAATTAATTGTTTATAGCTAGGAGTGCCAATAAGGAGGGTAGGCTACAGAGGGGTGGGGGGCGGTCATGCTAGGCCTCCACTAGAATATCTGGGCATAGAGTGGTAAATATACAAACTGTCTGTTGGCAGACTGGGTCGATCTACTTTTAAAAGGTGCTTTTTATATGACTGAGTTTGTGGCAGGCCTCAGACTGATCAAGTCTTTCGGATGAAAGACGCAACTTTTTAACCAGGGCTTAATTTGAGCTGGATCCTGCCAGAACAGGATCCGGGAACTCTCTTATTTTGACAGGGTGCATTCCGGTAACTGTTTGCTTGGATCCAGCTTGGATCCGGTGTTGTTTGACTGCCTTGAATGAATAAAATTTATATTGGATATGAAATCTGAAAACAATTACATAAACACTAATTTTAAACACAACAGCCATTTATGAGCATATAGGAGCTGCAAGTAGCATTTACACATCTACCCTTAAAAAAATCTTCGCCCCTAGAAGAATGGTGGGGGTGAGTGCCGAGTTAACCAGACAGGAGCCCACCACCATGAACAGACAGAGCAGTCGGGCTCAGAACTGTCCAGACAACTGTCAAGGGGTGGTGGCGGCTGCTTGACTCCACCACCATCACTGGGTCGCCCACTATTTGTGTTCCGACATCGATCGGTTTACAAATTAAGTCCTGGTTTTAACCAAGAAGAATCTGTCCAGACCTGACTTAACATTTTTGTGATTTATTTACCTGGAGCAATGAGTATTAACCACGAGACAGATTTTATTAAACCTCCTAAAATGTAAACAGTGGATAAATACCTACAACTGAGTTGCTTTTGGAATAAACAAGGGTCAAGATGGCCTTTAACTTAGTCTATTTCACAAATAATAAGTTGAAAATTGTTGTGATAGTAGCTTAGAGTCACGCCCAACACATGCTTTGAATGTGAACAGATAGTTTGAGAGCTTTACTCCAAACTTTAGCATCTAAGCAACTGTTCTTTGAGAAATGCTAGCTTCAGTAATGAATGTGAATTTAAGAGAGGAGAAGCTTATGACTTTTAAAGTATAAAAACTGCAAAGTATATATGAAAAAAAAACATGTAGGCTTACATCAAGAGATAGTTCCCTAAGTTCCACACAAATCATTCATTCAACCTTTATTTAGACAGGTAAATCCCATTGAGCCTCGAG